CCGTCCTTCCGACAACCTTTTGGGGGGGGGGAAAGGGAATCAAAAGTGTCAGCCCGTGGGGGGGGGGGTATTTTTAAGCAAAGGCAAAATTTTTAATTGCAAGCCCCTTGCTCGTTTCGGGGGAAATCCGCAGGGCCCCCAGGGCTTTTAAAGGAAAAAAAAAAAAAAAAAAACAATATCGAATCTTTCTTTCCACCAAATTTTAATATCTACATTAACTTAGATAACAGGGAAAGAACTAGGAGCGAGAAATAAATAACAACGAAGACTAATTTCATTGGAATAAAACTATGCTAGCGGCAGTGAAAAAAACAGAGTGAACAGAAACACAAACATTTCCTCCATAAAAAGCGTAAGTAGGAAGATAAAAGAAGTTTCGCGTTTTAGTCGTGCAAAACAACGGCAAGGAAATGTACAAAAGAGTGTGCTACACGTGCAAAGTTGTTTTTTGCTAATTAGAAAAAAACTCTTTTTCGAGTTTGACTAATGGTCGCGGTTCGCGGGTCGGGGGTCCAATGTCGCGGTCGCGGGTCTAACGTCGCGGTCGCGGGTTCAAAGTCGCGGTCGCGGGTCCAGTGTCGCAGTCGCGGGCTCAATGTCGCGGCAGGGAAAAATGATTTGGGTTTCGAGGTAACTGAGTGAAAACAACTGATATGAAAAAAGTATAAAGGAAAAAATATTTTTTATGCACGATACTCCACGGTAGCCAATTTACAGGTTACGGATGTTAGAGTCACCAAAACGATGTCTCAAGAAAAGACCTAAAAGGAAAAGCTGGCCGACTTTTGTGTTCACCGCAAGTTTATTTTGTTTTTTTTCTATCGGGCCCAGTTATGTGTAAATTCAGCTTTGAATATACTTATGCATAACAGTATCTGATAAAAAAAAGTTACCAGAGGTTACCATTGTTTTCTTTTTGTCTATGAATTGCTCACAAATGCTTAGGGGTTCATTCACTGAAAAATGTGCGATACACTTCATAGACTACAAATTATAAACGTTACAACAACTTAAAGCCTTTTTTAAAAAGGGCGAATCCTGGCTCAAAAAGCTACTAGTCTGTCATTGTCTGAATCTGCCAGCTTCCCATTCAAGACCCATTCACTGACGAGTTTATGACATAATGGTTGTTTTCTTTTTTTTTTTAAGTAAACTTGTCTTGAAATATTTCTTAGCTTATTTAGGCTCCAGTGTAAAGACTACCAATATTCTGGTATGAAAAGATTCGCCTAAAAAACTGGTTTAAGTCTCGCTCGAAAGTTTACTCCACGTGGTGCGAGTCACAAATGATTCCGGCTACATAAATTTTGGATTTCATTTTTACTACTTTTGCTTAACAGATGAATACTTAGGTCGACGTTTTAAGTATTATACTGAATTATTTCAATGTTTTATGTCCTGCTTTCTGGGTAATAATAATAATAATAATAACAATAATAATCAGTTTGCTCTGCAGTGAAGCAAGTTGAGGTGTCAAAGTTAGTTGCCTGAGCTTAAGCTTAAAAGTAACTAGAATATTAACTAACCACGAGGTCTTCTTTGCAGATTAGCTCAATGTATCGTCTAAGTCTCTGAAGTCTTGAGGACTAGATGCTAGCTATTCTTGGGTTGCACGTGACGTCACCAAAAATCAAACTAAGAAACAATCGATTCTTCTGAGTTTCTACTTTCACGAGGTATTACAGTACCTAAACATTTTTACATAAACAAATTTTTGGTTCGAAAGGGTTCTTCGTTTTGCGAGAGAGGACGCTTGAATTTCCAGGCTTTTGCGTGACGCGGCATTTAGCTGGCGGACGGGTGAGCTCTTATGTGGGTTAAAAACATTGCCGATTTTGGGAGATTTGCAATCTAAACATTCCTTGTCTCAGGATAAATATTACTGTAATCTTTATGAGTTCCTCAAGCGAAGAATTCACGCATTAATAGGAAAACTCGAAAACAGATGTTTCTGTTGGTATCCGGCGGCCATATTGGTGTTCCTGAAAGGGACACCAACATGGCGTTTCCATACAAAGCTTTATAAATTTAGGTACACCGTTTTCCCAATATCTCGCATTTGAAATACTTCACAGACCTGATTCTTGGCAAGGGATTTTGTATATTTATCTTTTTTCATTTCCCAGATTCTAGTCCTTCTGTATTGAATGGTTTGCATTTTTATTTTTCATTGCGTGACAGTGCAAGCCGCCAATACTAAAACGGTGAAAGGCAAAATCTGTGGACGATGTAAATTCAACAAAAAGTGTTTCAGTTACAATTAGAATAGAGGCAAAAATTCAATAGCTCTTTGAATGGACACAAAACTTTAAGACAAATAAACATACTTACGTTTGTTTTCTAGACCGGCAGGTACTTTTAACAGAAAGAAAAGCCAGCGAATCTGAAACGAAGCTTTTTACAACAACGCAACCAGCGAAACGTCCTAAACGGCGCGCTTTGTGCTGGGGTAGTTGCATGTTGCACGTCATGAAAATGAAAATAAAAAATGGTATCGGATGGATGATTGTGAAGGATACTTCATCACATTTTCTTTTCCCCTTTCATTTTCTCTGTCCTATTGTGGCTCTTTGTCACATCTAGTATCAGTATTGAGCATCTGTAAGGGTACCTGCGGATGTCGATTTTGTTGCGCGTTTGCCATTAAAT